TTTTTTTAGGGCTAATGGTGAGATGATATATGATGTTAGTGATATCTATATATGATGTTAGTGATATCTATATGTGATGTTAGTGATACCTATATGTTATATTATTATTTTTTTAGAGCTAATGGTGAGATGATATATGATGTTAGTGATATCTATATGTGATATTTATAGTGATACCTATATGTTATATTATTATTTTTTTAGAGCTAATGGTGAGATGATACATGATGTTAGTGATACCTATATGTGATGTTAGTGATATCTATATGTGATGTTAGTGATATCTATATGTTATATTATTATTTTTTTATGGCTAATGGTGAGATGATACATGATGTTAGTGATACCTATATGTGATGTTAGTGATATCTATATGTTATATTATTTTTTTTATGGCTAATGGTGAGATGATATATGATGTTAGTGATATCTATATATGATGTTAGTGATATCTATATGTGATGTTAGTGATACCTATATGTTATATTATTATTTTTTTAGAGCTAATGGTGAGATGATATATGATGTTAGTGATATCTATATGTGATATTTATAGTGATACCTATATGTTATATTATTATTTTTTTAGAGCTAATGGTGAGATGATACATGATGTTAGTGATACCTATATGTGATGTTAGTGATATCTATATGTGATGTTAGTGATACCTATATGTTATATTATTATTTTTTAGGGCAAATGGTGAGATGATATATGATGTTAGTGATATCTATATATGATGTTAGTGATATCTATATGTTGTATTATTATTTTTTAGGGCTAATGGTGAGATGAAACATGATGTTAGTGATACCTATATGTTATATTATTATTTCTTAGGACTAATGGTGAGATGATACATGATGTTAGTGATACCTATATGTGATGTTAGTGATACCTATATGTTATATTATTATTTTTTATGGCTAATGGTGAGATGATACATGATGTTAGTGATATCTATATGTGATGTTAGTGATACCTATATGTTATATTATTATTTTTTAGGGCTAATGGTGAGATGAAACATGATGCTAGTGATGATGAATCTGAAGAAGAGAATGAAGAAGGAGATTATACTGTATATGAATGTCCTGGATTAGCTCCTGTAAGTCACACCTTCTATGATAATAAATTACTCTAAATCACATATAAATGCTCATAGAATAATCCAGAATATAAAGGGACTTGCAACAACTATGCAACTTATATTAAGACAGGCTCACAGTTTTGTTCATTGTATAGATTGGGAAGCCATTATTTTTAGCAGAAATTCTCAAGCTTGGTAATTGTGTGGTCTTTATTACTCTTCTAAATAACCTTATTTATCTTTCAGACTGGAGAAATGGAGGTTAAAAATCCACTATTTAACGAAGAGAGTCAAGTTACTGGAGATGATGATCACAAAGATCATAATTAAAATGATCTCCATTGGTGTCACATGACTATCACATGATCTAGTCACCCCCTCTATTGTGTATTTTAACATCCCTTTTTGTCAAGTGCTATGTATGTGTTTGTTCCCCTCTTTCTCTGTGATTTTATTGTCTGGTGTAATAAGAAAAAAATTCTTTAAAAAAAAAATATATTGATTAATTTTGTATTTTCAGTAAATTTTTTAATCAACCCTTTTAGGAAATGAAACACATCATACGCTTCAGAAAGAACATAAACATAGGGTAAATTTTGCTCAAACCCAAGTGCATATTCTAAAAATATAATTTACTGATAGTATTTATGTTACTATGTTTTTGTTTTTAATGATATTATAAATTTAATATTTTAAATCAAAAACTAAATATATTTCTGCAAAAAAACAAATTGAACACAAACACAGATTATAGCTACTCAATTATTATCTTTATTTTCTTTCATTTCATCTCATTAATCTGGATCTCACACACTAAAATATGTGACTTCATCCTTAAAACTCAATTAGATATTTCACTATCTGTTTATATTCGAATTCCAACTCTAATCGCCTTGAACAATGTGATTTTATGAAATGGCTGTATTCTATTATAAAACAGTTGAGTTTTTCAAGGATAAGTCTCCAATAATATTGTAATAATTTGTAGATATTATAAAGGTATAAGGTATGATTTTACTTATTCAGGGTTAGTTTGTGTTCTCAATAACAACACATAGTTCATATCTTATTATAGAAATAGTGCTCATAGGTAATAACTTATTCTATATCAAAATACTGGCAACAGATAACTTTATTTTATTCAATTTAAAAGAAGGCATTTCTTGACATTATTTTGAATGATAGAAATAGGATTGTCCTATTTAATAGCATAATAAATTAATTTTGTGTTTTATCTCTTTCTCTAAATATAATATATATGTTATAATAGCAGGTCATGACAAATAGCATTAAAAAACCTATAAATTACAGGACAATTCTGTCTCTTGACCTGTTTTCTTGTTTCAAAGGACCATAATATACTTCTGACATAGGACCAAACTCTCTCTATTGTATTTATTTTACAATGGTTGACATATTTTACAAAATTTATTCTGCTAAATATAGATATATTAAATAGTTTTGAAAATAGAAAAAAATGATCCTTTTAATAAATCAAAATTGTTTTCTTGTTAAGAATGTTGATATTTTATTTTTTTGTTGAAAATCATGGCTGTGAAATTTGTTTCCAACTTTTCTTCATTCCTTTTTGTTGATTTATGACTTCATTCCATTAAAGAAGTAAGGAATTTCAACCTGTTTCAGGTTCTAAGTTTAACAAGTTGTGTACAATTCTTGGTACATTATAACGAATGATTGTTGCTGTGATAATAAATTCAAACTAAGTATTGACTAACAAATCTAAAACCTAAATGTAAGATTTTTTGTGAAGTAATATCGGAAAATTAAGAGCGTAAAAATGTCATTTCAGAAATCATTTACAGTGTAGTAATATAACCTTACAAATGATGTCATAGGAGACATTTTTATTCCAGCTGAAATATTTTAATTGTACAAAACAAAAAAAATTGCAAAAATAGCAAAATATTGTTTCAGCTGATTTTAACACTGTGCAATAAAGTTTCAGACTGTAATATTGATATTGGTATTTATTCAATATAGAATATATGTACATAGAACTTGTATTATTTTGTTGAACTTTTGTAAACTTGCCTATTGGATTCTTCGCAAAAAATACTTGAGTGAAAATTCTTTTTTAAAATTTCGATTATTCAATTATAACAATAAAATTTCACAAAAGATTGTTCACCAAGCAGTTCAGATAAGATATTTATATCCAGTAGGTAGGTAGGGTTGTCTAATTATTGTTATTTATATGCTAAGGTTAAAGTTCAGAATTAGTACCAAGATAACGTACTATCTTAAATTCCGCCATATTATTCAGATTCAGTTAGAAATTATTTCTGAACATATTTGTTTTTATTTCCATAGCAACTAACCTGATTTTACCATGGTTACTGGTTATTATAGTTACTGTTGTCAAGATAAACAAATATATAGATATTATATATAGTACTTAATCATGTATCTATTCTGGTTTTGTGTTGTAAGTTTTGTTTCATATTGCAAATTGTTTCCCTTTTCGAGCAAAAGTTATGTGACATCAAAAGTATAATTTACTGTTTTCAAAGACTAAATTTCTAAATTTTTGATATTTGTTGCATATTTATTGGTCAAATAAAACTTTAACCTATTGTTTTCAGATACAGAATTTTCAAAAGCTAAAAAATTATTAAGATAGTTATCAATATGTTTTTGTTATTATTACAAAGGTCACAAATATTGTAAATTACAAGGTGATGGATGGATTATTTTAATAGTAAAATGTGTTTTGATGATCAAGTCAGTTTTTTGCACTGTGTTGGGATGAGGTTTCATACAGGTTTCAAGAACCTGAATCATATTGGATAGACCATCTCCATTAGTTATCTTAAATAACTGATATGCATGAATTGAATGTAAATTATTTTGGGTTGTAATGGAAATTGGTATAAATTAGGGCATTTAAAAGGAATATTTGATGATAATAATGTTGTGTGGTAAAGTATTATATCACTGCCTATATTAATGAATCTCTGTTGTAAAAATATCTCTAAACAGTTGTATTGCAATCTGAAATAAAACTTTATTCCCCTATATTGACTTGTTAGCAAATCAAAATAAATTTATAAATAAATAGAATTCTATATTCTGTATAATCCTGCTATGATATCACTACATGAAAATTAATGCAATGGAACCACTCTAAACCGGGTCTACATCAGACTTCTTGACAGTGCCGGTTTAGATGATGTTCTTTCCAAATGTAGAATCATTATTAGGAGATGGTTTCTCAGTACTCAGACTCAGACACGGAATTCGAGAACACTTCCATTGCTTCTGCTTGATTTCTGCCAATTTTCTACGATGTTCCAAGTTCTCACAATATCCTCATGTAATTGGCAAATCTCTTCTCCCAATACTGAGTTCGAGTCCAAGAAGTAACCCCTTGTTGAGAACAGACAGTCCCATTCACATTCCTGGCAAGGCAGAACACTTGCAGTTCTTTTCAATTCCCAATCTAGTCTTACTAATTTTCTTTTTTTTATCACCCCACAGCCCCTTTCAATTTCTGCTCATGATGAAGATTGCAGATCTTCAAGCAATGTCAATAAGATTATTGCAGTAAGAGAAAAGAAATTCCATGTAGCCTGTTACATGATATCAACAAGTTCAACAGATAGCTTATATCACCTGTATCGAGGTTACAAAATTAGTTCTCAAGATCACAAAAACTACACATATTATATGAAAAATGTGTGCAATAAAACTAAACATGTTGTATTCATTAATATTTGTCTTACATAACTGGCTGCACATTTTGTTTTCTTTGTTCAAAATTCCAGTCTCACAGTTTATAAAGTAAATACAACAGATCGAGAAAGGTCTTCAAATTCCCAGCTATTTCAGATGAGCTGGTTGTTGTTAATTTGGGGTAAAAACGTGATTTTTTCAAAGTATTCATATAGTCTTTTAATTAATGTGTTAATTCGTTAATGGTACTTAGTTATTTTCTAATTAAATTACAGACTAAACAGAAGTAAAAATGCTAATTAAAATAATCAGTTTAACAATGTGCCATGATATTTGTTATTCATGCAACTTAATCATTTAATGCACTAAAAACATGTGTCATTATAAAATAAATTGAACGAAATAAAGATTTCTACTACTAGTCTTATGGATCAGTTTTATACCAACTGCTGAATTTAGGGGAAAAAAAGATCTCAAAACAGGAAAACATTTTTATTATTTTGTTTTCTTATTTAATTCTTAAAACCACCTTCCATGTTGTTTACTCTTTCAAACCAGACCCTATCTGTTATGTTTAGTTTATTATCCAAAACGTTCTAAACTATTATATTTCTCAAATAACCACGGCATTTGGCCTAATCTTACCCACGCCTACATATTTTTGCGGTTGAATACCTTGGCATATTGATGCTCTTAAAGTATTTGGACAAATGAATATTCATATCATATAGTAAGTACATCAAGGTTTACTGCTTGTGTTTTGTGTATGAAAGAGTAAAGCTAAATCACATGTTAGGTACTAAAAACTTAGTAGTAAAATTGATACATTTGTTTGATATTGTATTATCTTAGTAAATGAGAAACATATTTGATGGTAGATACTAAAAGAAACCCACTGTGTGAAATGATCTGAATAATTTTCGACATAACGCAACACATTCATATTTTCAATAAGCCAACTCATTCATATTTTCATAAACCAGCGCATTCATATATTATAAAGCAACACATTCATATTTCAAATAAAAATTCATCAGAAACACCAATTAATCAAATAGTTTACTTAATTTGACAAATAAGTAAAAATTTAATTTCAAAAGTACGAAACCCATCTTTAAATAAACCAACACATTGATATTTTAAATAAACCAACACATTGATATTTTAAATAAACCAACACATTGATATTTTAAATAAACCAACACATTACATTGATATTTTAAATAAACCAACACATTAATATTTTTAATAAACCAACACATTGATATTTTAAATAAACCAACACATTGATATTTTAAATAAACCAACACATTGATATTTTAAATAAACCAACACATTGATATTTTAAATAAACCAACACATTAATATTTTAAATAAATCAAAAAATTCATATTTTAAATCAACCTAAAAAACCAATAAATTCATATTTCGAATTCATATGTTAAATAAAACCAACACATTCATATTTTATTTTGAAAAAAACAATACATTCAACATTTAGCTAAATAGTTAAGAAAAAGTCGTAACCATTAACGAAATTCAAAGTACATGTAGTATTTCACTGGTAAAGACAACATGTATTAAGACGTAAATTTTACAACTTGTGTGTTAGTTGTAAACCAATTCATACAGTGTATATGTGTTATTCTGTTTGATATATGAATTCATGCAATTAAAACCATGATAAGAATATAGCTAATACACAAAGATTTATCTTTTTACACTATATCTACGAGGAATATAAAACAGTTTATCTGATTAACATAATATGAAATAAAACAGAAACAAACTCGTTTTTATATGAAATTTGTATAACTACGTTATAACAGAAACTCAAACTATAATATATTATATTCAAACTGATATTCCTTTGTTGAGTTGTAAAACTGTAGATTATTATGAATTTGAGAGCAAGTTTCGATATTGATATTGTTAATTTATAACGGATCGTATAGTAATCCATAGTAAACCTTCGGGCAGATATTCTTCGCCACCTTGACGTTTTTGCTAAAAAAGTTCTGGAAATAAGGAATATATAATATTACGTCAACGTCTAAGATATACATGAACATTACTCGTAAATTATGATCAATAACGATACGAATATTCTACAACACGAAAATAAACTTGCCAATTTCATCATTTCAGATGAATACCAGATATGTCAATGTCCATCTTATCATACAGTTAGTATTTAATTTTAAAATTTATGAATGCACAACGTTCAAATTGGATGATAACGAGATAAAATACGAAACTTCCTCTGCAAATTTTTTTAATTTTTGGGTAAAAATTGTTTTAGACTACCAGACTCCAATTTGTTGATAATTTGATTCGTTTTGGCCATCCTTTTTCTTTCATTTACAGTTTAAAAATTAGTTTATCAATTGCAGATTTTAAGGCTTGAAAACAAGAATTTATTGTATGATTTCAGCGTATCGTTTAAATGAATTACCATAGTGGAAAGATTAAAAGAGAACTGCGCATATTATTTGATAATGGTGAGAACTGAAATTTGGAGAAATCCTCTCTTTCCTGCTATATCAAAGTAAAATGTACCAGATCTACACTTACACGCTTTTTGTTTATTTCCTTTTCTAAATTCTTACCAATAACAACATGTCCATTGTTTTATAGAATAAGTTTAATTATGTGAATATAAGATATAAGGTGACATATATCAGGGACGGTCCCTTTACTTGTCACAACAGACGTTTGAGAACCACCAATATCATCAGAAATAAAGAGTTGAGATACTGGTTGATCTAGTATTTTTGTTCTGTTCTTTCCCACAACGCTTTTAAATTGAGTTTCACAGACAAGTAATATATGACACAATGTGTAGGAAATTGGGATTAAGTCAGCTCCTATGGATTCATAAGTTTTAAACGAAGGATTGGACAGGGATATTTAGTTAACTTACAGATTTACATAAAACATAAAATTCTGTCAGATGCTGTTCTTAAAAATTAAACATTATTAAGTTCATTGTCTGTATTAATTTTATATAATGCGAATTTCTATTATACAACAAAATGTATTGTGATACCAACAATGGTAGTATGCTGACAGTGATTAATTATACTACATGTTTCTTCAAATTCTATTACAACTTAAAACTTGTAGAATGGTACGGGCGTGCCAAATAAAAAGATAAAGTAAAAAAATCAAAAGGTGTGCAAGACTTTCAGACCTACCGGAATGATTCAGATCTAAAAAAAAACCCAAAACCTAGCGAATAGATAGGAGGTAGACTTGAAATAAGTCTAATAGATACCCTGGATCATTTACTATTATAAGATAGCTTAACTCATTTTATATCTATACCTCTTTTCTGGGCGCTAAATTAGAACTTTTTGTATCAAGAACTTGACTAATATTAATCAGTATAAGCTGCATTGTGTACCGCATACCGCTCCAATTTGACAAAACCACAAAAGTGACAGCAGTCTGAATTAGCACTGCACGTTCAATTGGATGGTCGAAAGATTTTGATTTGATTAATTGATCCGTAAGACTCTACACCTTTAGGAAATGAAGAAAATTTTGATGATCTTTCTATGTCTCACTGACAATGAATCTCTATATTTCCAAAGTGAATTTGAAATATATCCTGTACGACCATAAACTTATAAACAATCTACAATTACATTTCCTCTATGAAATTACGCCAAGATTCCTGTATGTAATATAAGCTAAGGAAATATATATTCAACATCTATTATATAAAGTTATTAATTCTCACTGGTATTAACATATGACACAAACAGCCAGTGCAGAATTCCCCAAAAAGAATATCCTACTCAGGAATCCTTTGAAAAGTTTAGTAAAAATATCGACATTAAACAATAAAGGAAGTGTGTATTTACTCATAAATGATAACACACCAATTTCATTATTTTACAAATTTAAGCAGAATGTTTGTTTGTACGCTATATTTCAAAATATGTTGATATTTTTTCTTACGTATTTCATATAAATAATGGAACATTTCCATCAACAAAAGAGAAAATGTTTTCAATGCTGATGCAGTGTATGTTATTGAATTGTTCGAGAAGGAATTAAATACCACAATATATTAGAAAGGGCAAGCAACACCTGCAGCTATACAATATAAAGGTGCGGTAATTTAAAAAGGATACTCATAAGAAAATGATAAGAAAACATCTATAGTGAAATATACATATATAATCATGTATTATTATAATGTATATACAATATAAATGTTCATACATAAATATAAAAGATAAAGTTATACATATTTTGTATAAACAAAATTACATGCCATTTTACTGTACATACTCGATTAGGAGAACCAAAAAAAAACCGCCACACTTTCTGCAACTCTCAGAATAAATACAATGAGTCTACCTTAAAACTTAATCTGACAGTCTATGTTGCTGTACATTTTTTATATTCAAGGGTTACACTTACATTTTTAAAAAATGACATAGGGAATAAAATGAAAAGTTTGTACAAATATCTTTTAATGATTGATTTTTACCACCAAAAGAAGACAATTTATCATGAAGAAAAGTGATATGAGCTTCTTTCTAAAAGTAAATAAATTCTGATAAACTTATAATGAAGTACATACTTACTAACTGCATTAAACGTTCTTAAGAGTAGGATATGTTTTGAAACACTCATATGAAAACATTTATGAAGCGAGTTTCACTATTTTCAAAAAGTACATTTTAAAATAAATCCCAGCTATTTATTGATTGCTGACTGATTGAGTGTTCGACTGGATGACTCGCTCCAAATGTCATGTAGAGCGAGGCTACGTTAATAACGGATCAATACTATTACAACAATTCCAAGATGGCTACCCGGTACCAATGTTCCTGATATTATTATTTATAAAAGACAAGACTGTAGATATCTGTAGCGGTTATAAAAGCTTATACAGTGGAGTATTATTTCATTGATACTGTGTGAAGGCTGAGCGTTTGAAACCAGTTTCTTAATCTCTATTTATATACAAGTAGTGCCACTGTATAGAGAACTTGCAGGATTCCGTATCGATACCATTAACAGGACTATATGGAATCATTAGTGTAATTATATGGTAGAGTTCTCTACAGTTTTAATTTCTGTACAACAAGAAAGGGTAATTATATTGTAAAGAATTCAGTATCTGGAATTCAAACAAAGTTTAAAATACTGTTTACAACGAAAAATGGTTGCTAGGCACATGTTAGTGAATATTGTATTCTAGTCAGATTTTAAGAGTGCAGGTTTCTACAGAGTTCAATTAGGGGTCTAACAGATTTAATTTCTACGTCAATAATCATCTAGCTAATC